TTACTGGCTCATAGTCAGCTTCTTGTCCACTGTGATGCCCAGGTGCTTTTCTGCTGAGCTGCTGCTTAGCCAGTCATTCCCCAGCCTGTACTGATGCATGGGATCAGGGTGGATAAAAATCAGTGATTTAAAAAAAAATCAGATTTTAAAAATTTAAATCAGATTTTTTTATTTCATTGTATTTTTGATTTTAAGATGCTTTTTTAAAAAAAAACACCATATAAAGATGGTTGTAATTTAAGATACGTTTAACCTCAAAGATATCATCATGGAATAGGGACTGTAACTTCTAATTATATACTATTTGAGACAAAATATTGTAACATTTTTAGAAGTTTTATAAATAGGTCACAATAGGCCATGGATTATATTAGGGGCGTAATCTTATGGGGTTCCCAGAGGCTCCTCTATAGATTAGTAAAGATTAAAGAAAACTGCTCTACCCAGTGGTCTTAGTGCTCAGTCTAGAAGATCCCATTAAGCATCTCTGTGATGCTTAGTTTCAGTTCTCAAACAGTGGATTTCTGTCTCCAGAGATCATAGGCAGACAAGGGTCTTTGGGTAGATGTGATGTCTTTGGAAAAAATTGTTCTTTGCAAGCTTTCAGGCACAAATACCCTTCTTCAGGCATAGGGAGAGTTTGTTGTCTTTAAAGATAACATCCTTGTTAACAGCTGTATGTGGAGGTGAGAGAGAACAGACCTGATTACCTACCCATCAGCCTTCTTGTCTCTCTGGAAATTTGGCTACACAGTCAAGCCCTTACCTCTCTCTAAAAGTACAACATTTCAGGAAGTTAAAATGACTAAAGATATCAAACAAAAAGAATGCACTTTTTGTAGAAAACAGTGATTAAATCAAGGTTTCCTGCCCAGTGACTTCAATCACTATTTAAAACAAATTCACCCTGCATGCGATTGTTCCATCCTAAGTGCAGGACTTTGCACTTGTCCTTATTGAACCTCATGAGATTTCTTTTGGTTCAGTCCTCCAACTTGTTGAGGTGTCTCTGAATCCTAGCCCTACCCCGCAGCTTGGTAGTATCATTTGCAGTCTCTTGACACCAAACAGATCACGTCAGCTGAGATGAATCACTTGGAGTTGGTGTTTATTGGTTCTAGCACCAAACCTTGTAAGAGTCTGTTTCTCCAAGATCTCCAGGATCGGTTTTGTGGCCAAAACCATGTGTAAATACCTAACCTCAGAGCATCAGCTCAGCTGCCATGATAATCCATCCAGAAATATTGCTGACATCTTGTACAGCACACCTGCGTGTCTGGCGGTATCATAGGCTGCTGTATGTGAGATCAAAGACAGCCCAGTTTTCTTCTTCTGTTAAAATCTATTTTCATTCTACATAGAATCTGCTGCTGCTTGGCCAAAAATACTTCAGTTTGGCTGGAAACTCGCCTGAAGTTTTTCTGCCACATGTGTAAGATTATTCAGTCCAGGGGTTTTCTGCTGCAGCTCAGGAGTAATGTTGGGTAATAGGTGGCTACTAAAGGATGGTCTTTTCTTGGCAATAGTATAACTGTCAACTTAGCTTTTCACTGTGTGATATATATCAAGGTCACCTGTACTATATGGGACATGAATATGGACAACCAGTGTTGCTTTCTTTGCAAGGAAGGAGGTAAAAGGAGGTATGATATTAGGTTGTCCAAGCTGTAGACTTCACCTGGTTTCAGTGATTTCGGTATATATTGGCTTCTTCCCTAAAGAATTGCTGGAAACTTTAATTTTGGTCAAGAGGTGACATTGCTTACACTTTCCTGATAGACTCCTAAAATTTTTTATCCAAGTCTGAATTATTGACGTTGGCAAGGTATCTGGTGACACTGTTTAGACTTATCTCTGTTCAGTGGGTTTTGTTCTTCATGCAGCTACCTGTGGAGTTTCTAACTCTTCCTGTTTGATTTTTGACTCTTTAATTTCTGAGGTGCATCTTCATTGCACGCTCTTTGGGCTACTTTCGGGCTCTCTAGCAGGAGGCAATATTAAATATTGTTTTGTCAGACCATGTGTATGGTTGATATGTTGTGCAGATGGTATATTCCCTTCAGTTACTTGATTAATGATAGTTGCAGTGTATCCTTAAGCTAGAGCTCACTATTGACACGGTAGCCTCAGTTTGGCTTAGAAGGGGGCTGTGTTTCCCACTCAGCATTTCCAAGGACCGTGGAGGTAGCTGTTAAAGTGTTGTCTCATAGAAGTGACCCAGCTGAAGTTAAAGTAGAAAACCTTGTTTCCTCCCAGTAGCGTGAATTTGCTACTTTCTTTGGGTTGTGAAGAAGAACTAGCTTGCAGAGGGAGGCTGATTTGCAAGGTCTAGCCTATTCTGATCACCAGGGATCCTGGTTTTCTCTGATTTAAAACAATTCCCAATTTTCAGTTAAAAAAAGTAACCCCAAATCCACATTTTTCTGTGATTTTAAACGAAACACCACTAATATATAGATAAATATCTAGTGGTGTTTCATTTAAATATCATGGAAAAATGTGGATTTGGGGTTACTTTTTTTAAACTGAAAATTGGGGATTTTTTAAATCGGAGAAAACCAGGATCCCTGCTGATCACCCCAAGTAATGTGATATCTATTAAAGTCCTCTGTGTAGATGGCAGGATATTGGAGCAGTGGTAGCCCAAGCACAGGCACTAGTTCTAAGCTTACAGGCACTAGCCAACTTGCACAGAGTGATCCTGATTATATCATAGTCAAATGCAAATTGCAGTTTCTCCACATCAGATAAATAGGTCAGCTATGTCTTCCCAACAGCCTGTAGTTTGTGGTCAGAGATCATGAGCAGATTGGCAACAAGGAAAGTAAGATAGGTTTCCTGAAGTCAGATGACATCAGTGTTGTGTGGGTAGGTAGTGCTTTCAAGAACAGAAAGGATTGAGGTTAATAAACTGTCGACATTTCTCTGAACCACCTTGAGCAAAGGGCAGGAATTTAGTGCATTTCCTGTCCTTGCCCAGACTAGCAGTAACTGAGATTCACTGGAATCAGTTTTCTGGTTGATTCTTTGGTTTTCCCAAAGATAATCCATCAGGCTTACAACAGGCTTGAAGCTGCAGTATACTTCATTCCTAGAATGAGGAAAATTGGTATTATCTCTGTTGTATTCCTATCTCTATTTCAACATGAACAATAGGTTTCCCTGCCAAACTTCCTGTGACACATGCTAAGAAACAGCATGCAGATCTTCACATTTTTGTTCTAGTTAAATAATATTAACAAGCCATAGACCCTGATGAGTCCCCAGTGGCATTACTTATCTGAACCAAAACACTTCAAGTGTTTTATTCACTTGCCAGATTTTTACAGTAGATTCCTCTTCAATAAATGTCAGGTTCTTCTTGACCAAATTATCTCCCATTGCTTAGTTTCTGTTCATATTTCATTGCACTTCTGTTATAGTCAGTGAGAACTCTAAAATAAATAGTGCTCCAGCTTCACAGCCCTTTTCAAAACTGTTACTTACCCCTAATGGGAGCAAATAGTAAACTCATCAGCTGGACCTCTGTCTGTGCTAGGTCTTCCAGTGTTGCTGACCTTGTGTTAGTAATACCGGAGATTTCTTTTCTTGGCAAATTGGACTTAAATCTGCAAGGTAATTATCATGGCTACTTAGATCATTGAAAAGCCAACTATATTGGAATGAGCTGACAACCTTGTTTTTTTTCTACCATATTTACCACATTTGCTTAAATCCAAGACAAGCACCTCATCTTGGATTGGAGTACAAGGTGGAAGGGGAAATAGGCAGGTCCTGCGCCTCTGTTCCCCCACACCCTCTTCCCCATTCCCCTCTAGGGCTCTGTCCCTTCCCCTCCCTTCATCACTTGCCATCCAACACAGGTTGAGCTCCATTCTGGTTGGGGGCACAGAGCACAAGTTAGCTTTGGCTCTGGTCCTGGCCTGGCCATGCAGCAAGGGACACTACTGCTGCATGGCCAGGCTGAGTCTGCTCAAAGCTACCTTGTGTGGGGAGGGACAGAGGTGGCAGGGTGCAGGCACCATCAAAGGGTGTAGACATGGCAGGGTGGGAGGGAGACAAAGAGGGGTGGGGAGCAGATCACTTGCCTTCCCCTTCCCCCCTCACCCTTTATGCTGCTGCTGCTTTTCTCACTGTAAAAGTGGGGGGACAAATTTAAGATGACCTTCCAGTAGTTGGATTCTGTACATGGAAAATTATAACAAATGTATACATTTTCCCTTGTATAGAATCTAATTATTGGGGGTGGGGGGTTGTCTTGAATTCATAGTTGTCTTGGATTTAAGTAAATGTGGTGATACCTTGATCAGTCTCAGACTTCTAGTATCTTGCATGTAGTTCTTCCAGTGGTAGTATTTAGTAATTCTCAACATTTTTCTTTATTTGGTCTCTAGCTTTAAGATTGGATATATTAGGTTTGGTTGTATTCTTACATCTGAAGGTAGGAGCCTGAGATCTCTTTGATTTGGCATTTCTCAGCTGCACATCCCTCAAGTCAGGCCAATTAAGATAAAGTTAACCTTAAGGTTGGCAGCTGTGTTCTGATCTCAGCCCATGCGTAGTGCAGCCAAGCTTCTCCTTATAGCTCAGAACATCCAAGCACCGTATGGGGAAATGGTTTACTCCAACTGGAATAGATGAGGCCCCTTATTGAGTCACCCGTGCCACTTTCTGCAATGCTCTGGGTTTTCTTATGGAATCTCCCGTTCCACTTGTTTGTAAACTGGCTCTGCCTAAACACTCTGGCAAGGGCAGAGCCTGAGATGCTGCAAAAAAAGAAATCTAATCATCCAGCTCCCCATACTATCCCTGCATATTTTAATTTTTCTTTTTTTCCCCAGTTTTATCTCCATCTCTGACCTCCAGCTTCAACAGTGTACACCATGCTGCAGTCACCTTACCTGGAGCACCACTGAGTTTAAGGAATGGGTTCGCCAAAGCGAAGGCCTTTTGCCCAAACAGAATGCTCTGCCACGGGCTCACCTAATACTCATTGGCTATCTAACCGATGGAAGGCAAGAGGAGGGAGAGAAGCGGGTAGATGGCAGTTTATATGTGAAAGACAACAGCGGTGCAGTTCCTTGTGAGGTACTTCAGCAGAATAACCTGATGGATTATGTCCTTACTACCATTTCTGAGAGGAAGTCCAGACTACTGCAAAGTTTAAACAGTTTGCAAAAGATATCCAAGGGCCAGATTCTATTTCACATGTTAGGCATCTAAGTGCAATCTTATCCTATCCTTATCAAGTCCCTGAACAACTAATATAAAATGTGGGTGGGTCTTCCTTGCTGCTTTTTTGTGACTCAGTCTTAAGGATCAGAAGATAGAGAGTCAGACAAGTAGATGCATGCATGGATTTTCAGGGACTCGACCAAAGTGAAATAGAATTGTGCTCAGGGTGCCTGTGTCTGCTTAGATGCCTAACAGGTGGAATATAATATGGCCCCAGATATCTACCTTAGAAGGAGAAGGTAATAAGCCCAAATCCAGGGGAAATGGGTTGAATCATTAATTGCTTGTGAACTAACTCCTGCACTTACAGGGCTGGAGAATTACTAGAGAAAAGAGAGAAGGTATGAAGATTGATGTTGGTGATTCCTGTTGAAGTCTAATTTCAGTTATTAGTTAATGGGGCAAACCCCAGAAAATGGGGGCTCTGAAAGCCCTGGGAGGCTAATGGAGCCAATAACAATAAACAGTGCTGCTTGAGTTCCAGGTTCAAAGCAAAAACAATAGTAACCTGGGGGATAATTGGGCTATCAGTAATACATGTGATATGCCATCTCATGGGTTGGGTGCTGCTGTGCTAAAACCTGCTTGGAGGATCCTAAACAAAAAGGGTATAGGAAAATGTAGGAACTGGAGAGTGACACTTGTGACAGGCATGTGGCTCTGTGTTGCTGCCTCTAGTGTTCTAGGTCAGGGGTGACCAAACACCTAAGCTCTTTTAGCCACAAGTCAAAATCTTCTCACATTTGAGAACTGCTGACTATACAATTTGTACTCCAGAGTCAGTGATCTATGCACTGCTCCCACTGCTCTTTCTTCAAGAAGTGCCTTCAAAGTGCTTAGGAGCTGCATACTGCATGGGCATGTGGTTTGGCCACCACTGATTTGAAGAAATAGGTAGTGGGAGGCCAAGGCTGTTACATATGCAGAGGACACTATGTTAGGATGCGTTTTACAAGTAGCAGTGAAGGTGAGAGAGCTGGAAAGGTTAGAAATGCAGAGTGGAAAAACCAAGTGCAATTAAAGGTTAGGAAGGAAATTGTCAATAAATCCCCACTATTCTCAGGGAATGCTATTCCCAGCACTGAGTAAATTGCAGGTGGGTTTGTAAGGCTATGTGTACTTCAGGTTCACTTCTGGAGTGAAGAGGCTTTTCTGTCTCTCTCTTTTTGTATATGTTAGTTACTACCTTTGGGGAGCAGTAAAGTATGGCTAGGTATTAATTCCAGCTCTGAAATGAGTAATGCAAGTTTATGATATGCCAAGGAAAGGTTATGTTAATGCCATAGATAACTTAGCCAAGAAGTTATATTATCACTGTTTCTCAAAATTTAGCCCCTCTTCTCTTTTGGTTTAGCTCCTACATTTTGAGCTGGAGTGGCTGGAGTTGCTGTTTCTCTTCCCCAGTTGGGCATATGTGCCACAGAAGGGCCATCGATCAGGAGGGTATGTGGAGATCCTGGCAGACCCGGTACCAGTGAATCCTGTACCAGAGAGGATAGTTAATGCAATCACTGTTATCTACCCAGCGCCAGCTATGCAGCTGCTCATCACCAGGTAATATTCAAGAGAGTCAGTAGAATGTGTGGCTGCTGTCATTGTTGCTTGTCACAGGCAAGGTTCCCTCTAAGGTGCGCAGCCAAGCACAGGTAAAAGTCTGGCCGCGCACAAACTTTTTTAGGCTACGCACCCGCCGGGGTAGGAGCTGGGCTGCAGTGTGGGACACTTACAGAAGGTAAGCTCCTCCCCAGGGCGAGGCAGAGGCAGGGGCAGGAGCCTGGTGTGGGCTCCACCAGCTCCAGGGAACTGCTCTGTTACCCCACTTCACCTTGGGGAGGGAGAAGATGTGGCGTCAGGGCTGGGGAGCGGAGCACTTGCCCGGAGCCAGTGGAGCTCATGAAGCAGTTTCCCGGAGCTGGTGGAGCCTGCCCCAGCCCCAGCCTCTATCCCTGCCTTGCCTTACCTTGGGAAGGAGCCATTGCCTGCCCCAAATGAGGCTCTGCCGGCTCCTGGGAACTGCTCCACTGGCTCTGGAAAAGTGCTTCACTCCCCAGCCCTGACGCCACGTGCCTCCTTGCTCCCTGAGGCAAAGCAGGGGAGCGGAGCAGTGTCCCAGAGCCAGCGGAGCCCACGCCAGGCCCCAGCGCCCGCTGCTTGCCCCGGGTAAGGAGTTTACCTCTGGTAAGTGTCCCACGCCTCACCAAAGTAGCACGCTCACAGACCGCTACTTCTTAGAGGGAACATTGGTCGCAGGTCTGCCTAACCTCGAAGTGAGAACCCTTTAGGGAGGGAAGTAGTTGGGTCACATCCATTCTGACAGGGAACAAAGGAGTGTATGAAATTACAGAAATAACTGTATTAAATCCTTTTAGTTGAACAATAATCCGTCTGATGTTTTGCAGGTGTTTGTTGGAAACCACTTTGTTTGGCTGAGTTACACACTCATTTTTACAAAGAGATTTTATTATGCAAAATAAAATTTAGGAAACAGCAAACCAGTTGTAAAGATAATTAAAAATAATGTTTATGCATTTAAGTGACAGAGTTTATATTAACAAATGTAATGCAAACCTGTGGATCTTATGAAACTGCAAATCAAAGTAATACCTTTAGCCCAGGTAATTTTAGGTTATAATATTAAACAAACAAATACTACAGTTCAGAGTCTTACCAGATTGCTGATTAAGTCCCATTAAACATAGCTGTCAGAATTGGAGTATATCAGTGTTGCCTAACCATATAATCTTTATCATTTATAAATTTGAAAACTATGCAATAAATTTAGTAAATATAAATTTAGTTTAAATATATAATACCAGAATGCATCCTAGACAGTGCTGCATACTTGTCAAATGTTATCTCTTTCACATACATAAATAGGTTAATTACTGTAATTTTTTGGGTTTTTTTCACCAGCAAATAATCACAATTAGAATAAGCTTTACTGAATTAGTTTAAACTTTGGTATGAACAGTGGTACTTGGAGTTTAAAAGATCAGGCATTCATTAGGACATACCTTTTTTTTTTTTTTGCAAATTAGAGAAAGCTGGAAGATGTATGAGAATCCTGTTTTTTAATCTTTCTTTACTTGTAGTCTGTGTAAATCTTAACGGTTTTTACTACTGTCAGAATTTCTCTGCTGTGGATGAGAGTTTTAGCCATAACAGGCTAAAAGCACCCATAGTAGGGCGCTTCAGCTGTTTTAACCACATATTGACTTAAATAATGAAATTAAAAGGTTTGCGAAGGGCCGGTCTATGCTTCATATTTAGGCTATTTAAAAGGTTTATAAACTGTACTATGTACTCATAGTACGTTCTCTCATGTTCTCATAAAAAGTTATCTTACCACAATCATCTTTGTCACTTGAATAGGAGAAATGTGCATACAAAGAGTCTTACTATACATCAAAACTAATGCAGTTGACATTTACTATCAGCTTATATTGGTTATTCTTGATCAAAATACAGATTCACCATCACCCTTGCTTTATAGTGCTGTTATGTATTGCACTGCACCTATTGATTCTTCCTTTGGATCTAGTTCATGAGTGGTTTATGGACAAAGCTTCCTCCCCCTGACTCCCAACCTTAACTTGGATGCAAAAAAAGCTCATGAGTGATACTACATAAAGTTTCAAGGTTTTGCTTGGCTTGGTTTATTTCAGCTCTCTGCTAATGGCCAACCATCCAAGTGTCTAGCTCCTTTTGTCCATGTGACGTGTTCCTTATAGGCTTCGCCGTTAGTTCTTTCTGGAAGCCTGCAACGTGCCTAATGAAACAAGGGGCTGTTGTTTTTTTTAGTTTAGAAGCCAACCATATTAGAGGACATTTTTGCCGTTATGCTTTAAATAGACAAGATAGACCAAAAGTAGAAGAAAAGGAGTAGTAGACTAGTTCCTCACCCACTTCACAGATGGGGAACAGAGGAATACAGAAACTTAGTTGTTTGCTTGCCATTCTTCCTCTAGCTTTTATCCTATTTAAAGTTGACACCTCACTGCCATCTTATCACGGAGAATTTCTCAGTGCATGACAGCATATCTTCACCTATTGTTATTTGCCAGATAACAGTTCTCTCTCACTGACCATCAAAGCATATTCCACCAGGGCAGACGCAGCCGCTGACAGTTTCATACCAGTGTCAAACACCTGCAACACAGCCACGTAGAACTATTCCCTAGCCATAGTTAAACATTATTGTTGACATTACAGCTAGGTCTGATGCCAAGTTCAAGAGAGCAATCTTCCAATGGTCATTTGGCTAATGTAGCTGAAACTTCATCCTCATCTGGAGTAAATACTTCTTTCTAGTTAAGTAGGATGGGGACCATATGTACACATACTATAAAAAGAAATATTAGGCTAACTGTTGTAATGTGATTTTTTTAATGTGGAGGATCCTATCACCCGTGCTCCATCCCTGCTTTTCAGAGTGCTAAGCAGCATGGGCTTTGAATGATCTGAAACCAAAAGAGGTTGTATTAATGCATTCCATCACACCCTCCTTTGGCAGCATAAGGAGGCACAGGCACCTGCATGGCCACATAGGCATGGCTGATTCATAGGACTTGAATTTCACATGTACAAGGCACATACACACCAACAAAGACGTACACAATGACTGACTGAAATGTCTCAAAGAACCACTTATACTATAGGATCAGTACAGTAATCTTCCTAACTCTGCTAGTCCCCCCGCTGGTTTTTCTTAGTCTTCTCATTGCCAGATATCTCCATTTCCTCTTGTTGCTATGTAATAAATGAGGGATGTGAGAACTTCCCAGAAAGAAGGTTGCAAAAAACTTTCTTTTAATAGAAAGTGTTCTGCAATCTAAACACAGAGGTTGTTACCGGCTTGCAATTGGTATCTATAAATACAGTGTATTTTACATATAACAGCTGCCTCTGTTTCTGCTTAAAATCGCATTCTAATATCCCAGGTGATTGTATCTTAATATTGTTTGTAGTAAAAATCCTAATAATCATGTAGCAGTCTCTCTTTAAGAACAGTCTCTAAGGAGACTCATTGCATTCAATTTCAGTGGGGGTTAAAATAAAATCCCCAAAAAAGGAAATGAGTGAGAAGAAACATCAGGTCTTCCCCACCTTGCTATAATTTTTTTTTGACTGATCTCCCGTCCTGTGCAATGCTTGTCTCTAGGCCACATTTGGTACCTTTTGATCTGTTTCTAATTCAAAGCTTGGAACTATTACGGTATCGTATTGCCTGGTTCTGTAATGTCTGGTTCTACTTCTGGCTAAAGAGCTGATCCTGGTGTTCTCTTGTGGGACCTAGAATTGACTTCTCATTTATAACAAAAGAAGGTTGCTGAGACAAATTCAACCCAAAAAAACTTAAAAGACTACACCCTTTACCCAGGTTGCTTTGAGATCCTTAGATAAATATGAAAAGTTGCTTTCCTGTCACCTCTCCCCATTAATCACCTTTGTTAAAAGAGGTGAATAAAGAATTCCTTCCTAGAACATGTATCAAGCATACAACTCTGTATGGGTCCAGGTAGATATTACCCAGAAGTCCAGCTTTTGTTTCGTGGAGAATATGTCAAGAAATCTTTGATAAACCTAACGGAGTAAGAGTCCCTTTTTTCCAATATCTTCACATTAGGAAAGATAAATAAATTTAGCAAAACAGTCATTAGACCAGTTACTCCCTTAGAGCAATTCATATGAGTAGATTCAAATATGTAGGTTCAAGAAAATGATAATGTCCAAAATGCGTGCAATTTTAGTAGAGGAAAGGATGGATAGGAACTCAAATCAATGAAAGTTTGGCAAGGAGACTTGAGTTGGGGTGATGTAGAGAAATATGGGAATAGGATTATCAATATAACGTGTTTTACACAAAGAAAACTTGTATAAAATATAAATATTTCCAAGATGTATTTTTTCAATGGTAATACATCATGCTGGAGAGGTTGTGGAGGAAAAGGCTCCTTTTTCCATACATGGTGGCTGTGCCCTGCAGCCCAATATTCTATGGAGGTAGTGACCAGAATAATAATTATTGTGGTAAGTGATGACATTCCTTTGGATTTGGTGGTTTGTTTACTGAATACCCCAGTAAAGGGAGTTTACTTTGTGTGGGATGAAAAGCTGATATCCCTTCTGTTATTACCTGCTAGATTATGTATCACTCAAGCGCAGAAGGAATCACAGCCTCCTCCCTCCCCACACACCCATTCAAAATGTGGTGTGCTAAAATATGGGACATTCTGATGATGAAGAAACTGTTCCATCAGCTTGGATCATTAGAAAAAAGATGAGAGAAGAATAGATATTTAAAAATATGGATTCCACTTCTGACCCTTGCAGAAGACAAAAGTCAGCAGTCAGAAAGCCAGGGTCTGTAGCCAGAGTCTTTGAATATTGGTTAATATTATTGAATATCATTTTTATATGCATATAAATCATTATGTTGTTCCCAGAAGCCATTAATTTGTTGCTGTATGTCATTTACATTGTAAAACATAGACCTTGTGCAGTTTATATGTGTTCCTCTTGTGTTGGAGTTTTGTTTCTGTAGTTGCCTCAATGAGAAGTTATTTAAAAAAAAATCAGCTTGCTGTAGCCCCATCATTGTCTGGGTGCATATGGGGTCATTCATCTGAGATCTGCTACTCCAGGGTGTTGGAGCCAAGCTTTTAGAGCCATTTAGAGTATGCAACAAATGACTCCAGTTAATTTAAAGTAGCCTAATCTCTTTTTTGGAAAAATCTCATCCCCTTCCTATAGGAAAGGGAAGGGCTCGCACTACCATGGCTTACCCTTTTTTTCCATGACCAGTATATGCTTTGCTATGCACGTGCTTTGGTTTTATTTTTGGCGTAGTTCTAAGTTCTGCTTCCTTCTCTTGTCTTCCTCTCCCTCTACCCCAACTTCCCCAGGGTTCCATGTCGGAAGAGAGCAAAGCTGAACGTGGCGGGTGAGCTAGCCAGACTCAGCTCCCTCCTCTGTATCAACCACAAGACATTCTTCTTCCTCTTCCTGAAGTGCTTTACCTCAGCTGCTTGTGTCCCTGTGCTGGTACAGGTAAGTCCTTGGGGCTCTGCTCACAACTCGCCACATGAATCTTTGTACTGATGGTAGTCAGCCCATGCCATAGGGGTTGTCCGCTTGTTCCCATCTTGGTCAAGCAATGCACAAGCAACACTACCATCCTGAAAAAAGGCAGGGTGCTATTCAGGTGCAGTGCTCCAGAATAGTTTTGTGAGTTTGTGCTAGAGTGTCACAGAGCCCTGAGAACAGAGAGGGTGGTGGGCTGGGTTCTAGGGAATATGCTGGGTATAGGACGTGTTCTTTTCTCATGCCAGGTTTGCTCATATTGCCTATGTTTTCTTTGTTCTAGAAACCTGCCCAGCTTGCCTGGCATCATGTGCTGAAGCTGGGCCATGGCTATGTGCTGACAGCACTGAGCATGTCTGGCCTGAAGATGTCTGGGCATAAAGTATTTGTCACCAGCTTCTCCTCGTGCCTCCGGCCCTACCATGCAGAACAAGTAAAGGAACAGCCACTGGATGGTGGCTGGCAGGAAGGCCCAATTCAGCCAGTGTGTCCCCAGGCCTCTGTGCAGCTCAGCAGCCTCCTGGAGCTGAGATATGAGGATAAGAGGCCAGTATTGACCAAAGAATCCAAGATCCTGTCATATGTGGTAGGGAGTTGTCCCCCATCATCACCCTTTCTTGCTCTTGGGGACCCCATCCTTCAAGAGGGGCCCATGAACTCCCTTTGCACTATGGGCTCTTATTTCCCCAGGAGTCCAGCCCCCTCTGTACTGTGGGGCTTTTTGTAAACTCACTGCTTTCCTCCTTATTCTTGTTCCAGGGAACCATCACCCGAGTACTAAATGCTCAGGCTGGCCTCTATGAGCTAGATAATAAGGTCTGCCTGTGCCTTGCTTACCAACAGCTCTTGTACTTTGCCCGTGGTCTCCGACCAGGAGCATGTGTGGAGGTGAGATGATGGGGCAGGGACATGGAGTTTGTGGGGAAAAAACGAATGGCTGAGACCCAGGGCCTGTGCGTTAGTGATGTGAGGAGTAAGCTTGGTGTAAAGGAAGAGGGGTGTCAAATCTTTTTGTTGACTTGTAGGTGGCACTGAAGCAAATAAAACCAGGGTCTGACTTGTGAGCTTGGCTAGCTGCCCAGGGTTTGCCTCTAGGGTTGACTCCTGGGCAGTATAATATACACAGCTATCTGATCCTCTCACTCTTGTCTACCTGGTGCCAGTTCTATGGTGGGCTCCTGGGGTTGATGGTAAATGCTGTGGGGAAATGAAAGGCTTTGTATATGATGAGTGAGCATTTGGGAGGGGAGTAGCATGGCCGCCACCTCTCTGTTAAGTACTGCATAGTATCTTTGGAGGTTTTTAAGGCCTGGCTTGTCAAAGCCCTGGCTGGAATGAACTAGTTGGGGATGGTTCTGCTTTGAGCAGGGGGTTGAACTAGATGACCTCCTGAAGTCCCTTCCAACCATAATTTTCTATGATTCTATGATCTTTCAGCTTCGAGATATCCACCTTCTGCAGAAGCCCCTGGGCTCGTTCCATTCCATTGTGCTTGGTGCCTGCTTGCACAGTACTGTACTCCTCAAGGATTTTTCAAGGCTCAGCACCTTCCACCAGCCTGTAGCCTCCTCAGGAAATCTCTACTTAGAGCTCCTCTTCCGCTATAACCTCAGCCTGCCACTCTACCTGTGGGTGGTGAGCCTAATAGAGATGCTGGAGCAGAGGTAAGGATAGCTTTTCACCACTTTTATTGAGAAATGTGGCTGTACAGGCTGCTCATGCCCCTCCTGAACAAATCCCTGCCCCCTTCCCACACACTTTCACTTATTTGCTGATGTCTCAAGTGGTTGCTAATAAAGTTCTCCCTCCCCAGTTGCTCTGTTGTCCCCTCCTGATGGAGTTTTAGGTTTGTTTCTAGGACTTACTCCTGGGCAATGTAACACAGCATTGTTTTGTTCTGGAATACTTAAGGTTACTTGAATACTTTATGCCCAGATATCTTCAGCTGTCAGCCCACACATTAAAAACACAGATGTAAACAGTTACCTAAAACACCCTAAACAGAAACCTGCCAGTAGCAATTCTTAGAAAGCAGTCTTCATCTGGCCCCATGTAATATATTAAACATCCATGTCTCTGTGGTGATGCTAGTTACAGACTTCATTTTTGTTCATTTCTTGTGCAGTCTTGTTTTAAACAGTGTTTTTGCTTTCAGTCTCTCTCCTGACTTTCCTCCTGTTAGATTTAGCCCTTTCTTTGGGCGTCGGCAGCTGTTGCTGTTTTCCAAGCACCAAAGCCCAGGAGTAGCTGAGAAGTTTCTTGTACCCCTCCTGGATGCTGTGGTGCCTTCCAAGAACCAGGCCAGAAATATATATAGTGAGATCCTAGGAGAAATTCACGAGTGTCCCCTGCATCAGGTGAGCCCCACTACTTGTGCTCCTCTCTCTCTCTCTCTCTCTCTCTCTCTCTCTCTCTCTCTCTCTATATATATATATATATGAGGTGAGGAGACTCAGATCTTTCTTGCTTTTTGTATCCTGTAGTATCAGCCCCTGGAGCCTCCATGCCAGGCCCCAGCTCTCTCTCTGCTGTGCTCTATGGCTGAGAAGAAGAGCTTGGAAACCTTTTGCCCATCCCAATTGCTGTTGCCCCTTGATGCCCAGCACATGGGCACCCAGGAGCTGAATTGCAGACTAGCCTGGTCCTACAGCACATTCTCTGCAGAGAGTTTCCAGCCCCGAATGGTGAGTCCCAAATTCTTTCTACTCTGTGGTCTACAAGATCTCCCCTTCTCTCTCCCCATGAGGCCTGTCTGGGATGGGTGTGGGCTCCTCTTCACTCCTCTGACCTATGGGTACCGCCAGCAGGAGAGAACCCTGCTTTTCTTACCTGTGATGTAGAGAGTCTTAGGAGGTAGAATCAGAACAATAGGGCTGAAAGGGACCTCAGAAGGTCATCTAGTCCAGCCCCTTGCACAAGGCAGGATCAGCACTGCCTAATCCATTTTAGGCAAGTGTTTACCTTAACTTGTTCTTAAATACTTTGAGAACAAGCCCTCACACACAACTGCCAGGCACAATGCCTGAAACAAAAGATAAAATCAAAATCTCTTTAACTTGACACAAGTAAAGCAAGGAGGTGAGGACACTGTTGACATTTTATCAATGCAAGTTCAGGAAGGAGGTTGTTTAAAATATGTTTAGGAGATCCAAGGAAGAGGACCATGCCTACTGCTAGAGGAACAAAAATCCCTTGCAATCTGTAGCAGTGTGACTGTGGAGTAGTTACTTACTGATCCCTAATGTGGCAATCAGTCTGACTCTTGAGTGGAGGAGAAAGATCTTCTAGCCAGGAACCAGTTCTCAGCAGGAGCATCCATGCACTCAACTCAAAATGTCCAGCCTAGATTGCAGCCAGCACCCAGTGCTTCCTGATGTCTGTAACAAAGGGAGGGGACAAAATTACTTCCTGTACCCATGTGGCAACCAGCAAAGTCCAAAAGCCTGGGACAACCAAATATCTTCCACTCTATTACAACCTTAGGACCAGAAATGCAACTCCACAAATTACACATCCTGCCTGGAGAGTCAGAGCCCTCTTTTCTCTCATCTTGTTTCCCCCCACCTCTCCCTAAACATATTCAAGCTGCTTTAATCTCCTTTCAGTGTTGTGGGGTTCTGCTTTGTTTTTCCACTACTGAGCTTGGTCCTCTTTTATTTACATCTGCTTTGTGCTGCAGAGCATTTCTCATGGTCTCCAAGCAGTACTCTAGGAAATCTCTGAGGTGTGTTGTGGGGAGGAAGAGGGATCTCCTGGGCTTTCCAACTGTTGCTTTTCACAGAACACTGCAGGCATTGCTATTTCTAAGTCATACCTGGCTACAGTTTATCCAGTTTCTTCCTGAAAACCTCCAATGTGGGAGAGTCCACAACTTCCCAGCTTTGTATTGTCACGTCTGCAGTGAGGGAGAATGGTTGTTCTCCCTCTTCTTCTTTATGGTAGCCTTCCAGATATTGGAAGGCTTCTTTCATGAGGTTTATAAATGGTCTCTCAGGGACATTTTGATCAGCATCTTTCCTAGCTGGGGACTGTCTGATGGTCTTCACAACTTCCTTTCCCTTGCAGGTGTTGCTAGGGGTGCTGAGAGTCTCCTCCAAGAGCAGCTCCCTTCAGCTGCAAGACCATAGTGGTGTGCTCCCCTGTGTGATATGTCGCAGGGATGGCAGCCCCTTCGCAGACACAGCGCTCATAGGTGCGGCCCACTTAGCTCCATTTGGGGATCCTGGAATCTCGCTGCTTTGCCAGCAGCCACAAGGGGTTTTGAACTTTATTACTGCTTTGTCCAGTGGATTTGGGAGCAGGGACACTGAGTTTGCTTTTTTACCCTCCTTCTCTGTTATTTGCAGGGTCGCTTCTGCAGGTAGAAACCTACCAGCTTGTTGTGGAGATGTTCCTTCAAAGTGATTTTCCCTCCTGGGAGCAGCTGCTGAATTTAGAGCATGTGAGGGAGAAGAAAACAAGGCAAGTTTCCCTGGAGCAGAAGGCTTTAGCCTTTGGACAGGGGAGCAAAGGAGTTACAAGTCCCCTAGCTTGGGCCTGGGCCAAAAAGTCATATTTCTGGAGCTGTGTGCATGGGGGTCTGTGGGTTTGAGCAGCCCAAAACTGCATGGAGGGAAGCATCTCCCTGGGTAGAGCCCAGTGTGAAAGCAGTCCCAGAACCTATCAGCTTGCACAACTTCCTGTACAATCAGTCTGGGCCCTCTTCACTCCTTCAGCCCAAGCATAATTGAAGTGCATGTCCACCTCTACCCTGCAAGCTCAGGCACTTTCCTTATAACATGATGGAAAATTCCCTAGATGCTGTTCAACATCCTGGATTTTCCTCTGTCCTCCTGTGGTACCAGCCTCTCTCATTCCCCCAAGTTTCCTTATATGAGACCAACCCTATCCGCTCCCTGTGTGTGTGTGTGTGTGTGCACGCATGTGCACAAGCATATACACCTGCACAGAGTTCTTGACCGTATGGCATTCATGTCACCAGTGGCTGCTGTGTAGAGAGGCTCCTCCTGCTTTCCTCCTATCCCTGTTAGAGGCAGAGCAGGAATGGTGTTGGGGCTGTGCATTCTGCTCTTGGGTGGCAAATCCCTCTGCAGGGCTACAGCTATCTAATTTTTACGAGCTGCTAAACTTGTGCCTGGGCAGCTCTCTTGTGCTGCTGATGGGGTGGGTAAGGTTTCCTCTGTATTGGAGACAAACCCACCATCTCCACTCTGTGGAGTTTGCCATGGCCAGCAAGTTCCAGCTGTCTGTACTCATACCCTCCTGCTACCTTCCTTAGCATCTGTTGCTTGTCTGGGCCTCCAGCTAAAAGTCCCCATCCCAGAAAGCTGCCCTGTTTGGATTACCATCACTTCAGGTATCAAGAGCTGATGCCCCCCCCCCCCCCCTTTGTTGCAGTCTATACGTGCAGTTCTACTTTGAAGATGCGCAGATTCTCAGCCATCCAAAACCACTAACTGGGGAGCGACCTGCAAGCAGGGGCAGTCTGTGTCTGGGGAAGAAGGATGATGGTAACCCAAAAGTTGAGCTAGACTCGCCAGATGCAAAGGTGCCAAAATTGGAGGGGACCGAGGCAGGAACCAGCAGCAAAGAATATTGTGCAAGAGACCCAGGCAGCACTAGCAGAGCCAGCTGCGTGTCTCGTCTTTTCCTGGTCACCCAGAAAGAGGGGCTCATGCCCCGCAACTACATGCCATCAGGGGAAGGACATGAAGAGAAACAGGAGCTGCAGCCTAGCTTCCAGGCCACTGCGGTGTGGATGGGCAAACCTCGGCTATGGGCAAATCCCAGAGAAATCAGGAGCTTGCCAGAGTCAGAGCAGACCACTGACCACATGGAGGGCAGTGAGACACAGCAGAGAGTAAGGCAGGGAGCGGGGCAGGGAAGGGGAGGCTTGGGGGTGGTCCTCCTAACAAGGGTGTGACCCTAGTCCTGCATGAGAGGGTTGTGGGGAGCCCAGTCCCCAAGTGGAGGGAGCGGGGCTGGCTTGACCAGGAAGTTCACAAGTGTTTTTGACTCCCTCCAACCTGCTGGGGGAGCTCCATATTGCCTTCCTTCTCCACCTGCCTTTCCCCAGATCACACTCCTTAAAGGCTCTTCCTAGCCCAGCACTTTGTCTGCAGGGCACTCTGCCTTCTGTCTTCCAGCCCCTCCCCACCTTGATGGGCTGGTGCTTTCCTATGCTCCTGTCCACTCTCACCTTAGTGGACTTCGCCTTTCCAACCACCCTCCCTCACCAACTTGTCCCCTCATTCCATGCCAGGTGCTGCTGCTCTTCATGGGGAAATCAAGCCGATGGTTTCCAGTCCTGCACCCCAATGGGCTGTACCAGATTGTTGTGCCCCACTGCACGGTAAGGGAGGGGTGGCGGTGCTGACCTTCCAGAGCCCCCAGCCACAGTGTAGCACTGCTTCTCTAGAGCTTGTTCTTCACCCCATACAATCTTTCTATCACTAGCTGAACTGCCCACCACTCTGACTCTCCAGGGACTTTCCCTGCAGTTGAAAGTCTTTACCCACACCCATGAGAGGCTTATGAGAAATGGATTTATGTCTTCTCTGCTATGGGAGAGGGAAGTAGAGACCCTGCTACACTTGCTGTTATGTTAGTAATGAGTAACACATCTGTTTTTTTGGATGACAGAGCACCAGGGCATGGTGCTTTCCCTTGTCATACTCCAGCCCTGATCCTGACTGGCAAGGGCTTCCAGCCTTGACTAAGCATAGTCTGGGTTTCAGTCTCTCACTGTTACGTCGTCTCAGCCTCTGGATTGCTCTGCTCCAGCTCTATGTTGACTAGAAGCCTGTGTGCAAGGAGTCTGTCAATGCCCTGCTGATTCTTTCCTTCTTGGGTCACCCCTGACTTGTCTGCTGTGCTGCTCTTCTTGCAGGACTTGGGCGTGTTCAAGCAGCTCTGTCTCCCGCCAGTGCCAGAGAGGGTCCTGGACCAGTCATGCTGCCCCTCCTGTCTGTCTGTCCCAGATACCTGGCACTTACAGCATGAAACCTGGATCTCCTGTCTGGCTTACCCCCAGGTATGCAGCACCCCATTACCTTAGGGTTTCTATGATAGAGGCCTTCCCTGGAGATCTGGCAAGGGATTATACATGACTTTTCCTTGGCTGTTCAGCCACCCTTGTGGGCTGCACCAGGGCAGTGCTGGGCTTGCACTTCATGCAGAAGTAAGAAGGATGCAACCCCCAAGCCCAAGTCTGATGCAGGGGGCAGTGGTAGCCTCTCAGCCTGCCACAGCACTGTGCTGTTTGAGCTTGAAACAGTATACAGTTGCAAGGCTTTAGGCAGATCTGGTCCAGGTTGTTCTGGTGAGCAGTGGCTGCAAATAATCCCACTGAGTCCGTCTCCCTTCCGTTTCTAGCTGGTGCCAGAGTCAGTGCTACTAAGCATGGGGCAGAGAGTCTCCTCCATCCCAGATCTATTCAGCCCCAGGTATGTTGGCCTTTACTCTGCTGTGTTAAGTTCCCTTCTGCTGAGAAGTGAGGAAAAGCATCAGCATGAGTTCCAGCTGTGCTTGGCCAGTGGGTTATCTTAGGAATTCTCCTTTACATGAAAGTACCATACAGGGCTGTGATCTTGTCTAATATATTAAGTGTAACAGGATCATGAGGGACATAACTGCAAAACAGAATCCAGAAATCCACCAGTCCCATGGGCATGTAATCGGTGCCTAAGATCTCTGCCTAATACCTCTTGGTGGTAGGGATAGGGAGAAGGGACAGAACAGCGGAGCGCAGCCTTCTCAGATGTGATGCAGTTGGGCTGGAAGGGTATTCCTTTTTCCTGTACTCGTACTTCAGTACAGAAATGATTTCGGGACATCCCTGTGTCCAGGAAAGCTCTGGGTGAGAGATGGATCCTTTAGGTTTCCCACATACTGAAAACCTAGGAAGAAGGGGTAATGTATATCCGGGTTGGACAGGCCCTTGGTGAAAGGAAGAGAAAGGGCAATTGCTGAATGCAGTGACCCCTCCCCAGCACAGGACTCCCTGCACAAAGCACCTGCCTCTCCCCTCTCATGTTCAGCCAAACTCCTCCTTTCACTTCCTCTGCTGTCACATCCTGACCACTCCCTAGGGTAGATGGTATCACAGGCAACATGGACAAGCACAACATGTGGAAACATGGGACAAAGTGCATGCTGCATACTTAATGTCTCAGTTATAGCTGTGACCAAAACCTTGATAGTGCAGGGAGCCCTGGAATGACTAAGCCTGGGTGAAAGTTGTGGCACTGTACTTTACTTCCAGCAACTGGTGCCTCCAAATGAGCCGCTTTATCTGCTCTGCACAGTAAGACAAAACCTTGCTTTCCTCTGCTCCCAGGTTTACAGGTTCCCTTGTCTCTTTCTGTGGTGAAATAGTGGAAAGGGCCTCATGTATACCTATCAAGTACGAGAGACAGTCTGCATCTTCCAACACCCAAGGCCACAAAGGTGAGGGCGTGACTGCCCCCAGAGATGAGTTGGGAAGCCTGGGCATGTCTCAGAGAAGGCACTGCATCTTTCTGCATGCCTGGGGCTGGGGCACACTGTCCCCAACTAGCAAGTTGGATGGTGAGCTGGGGTGGCCAGCAAGCAATTTGTCCTCAACCCATCTGCCTACTCAGAAAGCCTCCTGCCCTCGGCCTACAATGTGAAGCTAAGCGTCATCGCTGCTCCTGGCTCCTCCTTCGTGCTCAGTGTTTACATTACCACCACCTTTCTGAAACATCTGCGGGGCTTGCTGCCTGGGGCCAAGATCCTCTTCCAGAACCTGGAGCGCAAAATCTCCAGGTACTTCTAGCTCTTGAGCTGAACCCAGACCCTGAATCCTCTCACCTTTCCTACTGCTTTCTTCCTCAGCAGTCTCTTTTGATCTGTCATCTCAGTCTGGATCCCACTAGCCAGGCCCTGGATCTTTGTCCCTGTCTTCCTGACCTGCCATCATGTCTCCCTAGTGCAGAAACTAAAGCACTTCTTTCTTCCTCACCTCCTGGCCAGCTGCCAGGCCCATGCCCCTAAACCACACCCATTCAGCCACCGCAGGAAGCTCAGGCAGTGCCCTCCTAGGCTGCCCCTGACATTTCCTTCCTTACCTTGTAGATTCCACAATGTGTATTGCACCTACGTTGCCTCCAGTTGCATCCGCATCATAGCTCTGCCAGTCCCCGGCGTGCTTCTTCCTCCCAGGTGAGTTTGGGCTCTGTGACCTTTCCTCCCTTCCCCATGTCAGCTCCTCTTAACCATGAGTCATTTGCTTTCTCGTGTCTAGCCCCAAGGGTGCAGCCTCATCCCCCCCGCTCGTGCTCTTGTCTAGCCTGCTACTTCAGCCCTGCAGCCTGTCCCACGCCCAGGCTTTCTGCCATCTCTCCCATGTCTTAGCACTGTCCCTGCACTGGATCTGCTCCCTCTGCTGCAGCATCTTCAGAGAGGTACCCAAGGGACGGTAGGGGAGAAGCCCATGGGGGTGAGGGGGTGGGAGGGGGCTTAAGGATTCCATTGTGGCTGGCTCACTACATTTCCCCTCTGCTCATTAGCATTTGACGATGGCAGTAACAGCATGTGGCAGAAACCGACCTGTTCTGATTTTTCCCAATTCTAGAGCTGCCTCATCAGCAGCTGTAGCTGCAACAGAGAATGGCCCACAGAGAGAGATTTGTGGCTCTGCTACTGTCCTGCCCTCTGTACCTGGCAGGGTGTTGGGTGACCTAGGTGGGCTGGGCAGGAGAGGACCTGCAGCCTCCCAGCACATGGCCCTCCCTGCATGGACCCTGCTCTTACATCTGAGCCAGAGGGAACCTCAGGGGAGAGCCTGCATTTCAAGGGCAGTCTCTTTCCTCTCAGATGCTGAGTCCCAGCTGAGCTGTCCTTGAGATTAGTCCTTGGGACTGCAGTGAACCAGCCCTTTTCAGCCTTTGCATGCAGGGGCACAGGTTCATCCTCATCCCTCACCTGCCTGCCCCTCCCCAGCTCTAACTGCTACTCCTCCTCCTTAGGGGAGATGTACCCGACAGAGCCCACCCTGTCCATCATACACAGGAGTGAGTCAAGCCAGTGCTCGGTAAGTGTTGGGGAAGGGAAAAGGGCAGAAGAGTAGGAAGAGGTGGGGAAAGGGCAGAGGTAGTCATGCTACAGGAGCAGGGACTGACCCAGCAAAGGCTGGTTGGGAACAGGGGATGTAGGGCAGAACAGCGGGGGAGAGTTCAGTCTGTCCCCCATTCTTTCAGGCATAAATTGTCCTCCTTCCCTGCCCTGCCCCCACCCCTCTAGTGCAGTTCCCTAGTGCAGCAGCAGGGGCTGTCCATGTGTAGTTACCTTTGTCCATCTCTCCTGGCCTGCAGGATCCTGGTGGAAGATGGAACCGGGGAGGCCCTGGTGCAGTGCAGGAACCAGCAAGTGGTGGCAGCCTTAGGCCTAAACTCTGCAGAGTGGGAAGCTGTCCAGAGCTGTGTGCAAAGCCGGGGCAGCATTTCCATCCAGCTTGGGGGAACTAGTGCTGGGACTGCAGTGAGTGCTTTGTCCTGGCAATGGCCCCAGTCCTGGGTCTGAGCCCCCATGGGGCCCAAAGAGAGTCCCTGGCTCCCAGGTACCTCTCTGCTTTGCTTTCCTGGAGCTCTGATGGGGTTGATTCCTTCCTCAGTGTGTGGAGGAGCCTGACGATCTTCTTGTCTGGTACCTGAGGAGCTTGTGTAGGAGCCCTGTTGCTTGCCGGCCCATTCTGCTAACTTTCAGCCTCGACAGGAAGCCCTCAAAGATTCCTCAGCCTGGTGAGTGCCCTCAGACCAATGATGTGTGGCTGAGGAAGGAAGGAGCAGCTTCACTGCTTAGGGGAAAGGGAGCATACAGACCAGTAGTCTTCAGCCAGCAAGCCTGGATTGCAGTCCCCCAGCAGGATCGTAGAGTGCATAATGCTGAGTGGGGGCGCTCTTGAGAGTGCTAGCAGCTTGGCCTGTCATGATCTGCAAACAATCAGTCTGGTTTCCAATGCTGCTCAGTGGAAAGGGATGCCAGACTGCAGGGGTGCTCTCTCCTACCCATTGGCGCCTACTCCAGTGCTTTGGCATGATGCCACATGGTGCTGTACTGCAGTGAGGGGCATGAGTGATTCAGCGAGGGCTGCTGTGCTGTTGCAGATGACATCTTTCAGGGATATCTTCCCTGGTCTAAGTCAGGTTGGTGGGAGTAGCTGTGTATTCCAGTGTGCCAGCTGAATGAGTAACGTCCAAGTGCTTGCTATGGACACCATAAGAAAGCACTTCTCCACAGATCTGGAGGATTGGCATCCATGTCCTGGCCTACGTGCTCTCTTTATTCTGCCATCTTCCTGCCATTCCTGTCCTTCGTGGCTGATGGGCACCACACCACTACCCCAATCTAATGCTAAGTGCAGGGGTGGGATGTGAGCTCTTCTTTGCGTAACTACTGATTGTATTCTTTCTCCATCCAGTTACACTGCAGCTGAGAAGATTCCTGGGCACAGAGGTGGAATTTATGTCTCAGGTGGGACCTCGCCCAATTCTGACAAGTCTCAATATCCAGGAGGCAGAACATAAAGTCTTATCCTATCTGAACAGGAAGAGGACGCTCAGCCTGAGACATGGCCCCTTGCCTATATCCACAGAGGACACATAAGGAGGACTCCAGTATAGTCTGGCAGCACTTGGGAGCTCAGCAAGCGCAGTGGCCCTGCAGTTGGGGCTGTGAGTGTCGGTAGGACTTGGAATCAGTATTTAAAATGTGTGGGATTGCAAAGTGTCCATGGATTGCGTTTTTCCCGAATGCTGTCTTTCTGGGTCTCGGGCAGCTGACCAAAGTCCAGCTTCTGGGAAGGGCAGGTGCTCAGCTCTTCCACAAAGTCAGCCACTAGCTTAGACCCAGAGTGCAGGCTGTACATGTTTCAGAGGAGCGTGATGTAAATAAAACTGTTTAATAACACCGAAGCACTGCAGTGGCAGTCTGTTTTAATATTTAAACCTTTCTTTCCAGTGGGCAAAAGAGCATATGTCCCAGTGTCTAAGAGCCAGAGAAAGGCACTGTCTACTTGCCTGAGAAATCAAGCAGCACAATTGAGGCTGAAATTAGTAGCTAGGAACAGAGGTGGTTTGAAAAACATCTGACCTCATAAAAAATGTCAGGTCCTAAAGGATTACTTAATGTGCTACTGCTGCACGGGGGCTTGGGCTGTGTAACTCCACTCGTGGGAATGGGAGGTATAACAGTGACAAAGCACCCAAATGAAAAAGAGGGAAACTACCCAGCAGCTTCAGCCAGCATCTCACTGAGTCACATTTACTCTGTTTACAAGTTCTTCCTGTGTCTTGTCCTCTGTGCTCTTTTTAATCATTATACTGGCAGAGGTGGGGATTGTTGCTCCCGGTCTTGAGGTCCAAGTCTAGCAGCAGGAGGAAGAGGTTTGATGGAGGGGGAGGGAAGCAGGAGGAACAGAGGCTACTGTCCCTTTGTGTTCCCACAAATGTTCCTTTCCTATAAAGACTAGACAGCAAAACTGGGAATCCTATGTAGATCTGACTTCTGTCTAGGTGCAGAGAGTTGCTGTGAGATTGCTGTGAGCCTGCCTTAGCTTTTTGCTCCTGTATCTGGCGAAAAGATGAGGCCTCAAGCACTGTAATGGGGCCCCTACCCCATTACTGGAGGCAAGAGGGAGTCGGGGCACAGCTGGCTGGCTCCAACACCTGGAGGAACTGATGAAGGCAGAGGGCTTTTTAATCAAATGGCCACCTACCCCAGGTACTGCAAGCACAGTGTAGCCTGTGATTGACAGACTTGGGGTGGAAGTAGTGGATCAGATGACCCAGAAAGGGGCATATAAGCCAAGGACCTGAGGAAAGGAGGCAGTCTGGCCTTGCAGGCTGGAAGGGGCCCAGAGCCCATGAGGGGAGAGACCAAGGGGGCTGAGGGACCCAGAGCCCACAAAAGGCAAGACTAGAGCTGGGGACCGGCAGCCTAGGGTCCTGGTATGGTGGACCTCAGGTGGAGAGACAGAGCTAGAGAAAAATGTGCCAAGGCCAGAGGCCCTCCGCCCAGACCCCAAGCCTGAGACCCCAAGTCCCCTGCCCTCTAGGGGCAGCCTCCCTGTCCACTTATAACATCAAGGCATGGCAGGTGAGATGACAGGGTAGGACCTTGCTAAGGCCAAAGGGGACAAGCAAGGTGGGGGCCAGGTGGCTGCCAGGGGCTGATTTTGCTACCCTGGTGTCATACCTGCTACAAGTGCCCATAAGTTATTTAATGAGTGGTAATGGAAGGTAAAAATGTCAGCCAAGTCCGATTTGTAAAATGGCCACATGATGGCACTTGTGGTCTAAATACCTGGTGAAACCTAAGTCAGTATGGGTTTGTCTATGTGGGGAAGCTGCTGCAAATTAAGCTGTGGCATGAACTTGCAGGCATTAGCTCAGCAATTCCCAAAGGGGTGTCAAAAGTACGGAAGCACACTGGGATTCCCCCTGTGTCAGGAGGTAAATGCTCTCCTCTCCTGTCCAACAACCTGCAGGTGCTCCCCTGCAGCTCTTCCTCTAAGGCAGGGGCGGGCAATTATTTCAGGCAGAGGGCTGCTTACTGAGTTTTGGCAAGCCATTGAGGGCCGTATGACAGGCAGCCAGATAAATACTAATTTTCTGAATCCTTTAGGGGCCCCACGGGCCGGATAGAATGGCTTGGCGGGCCACATCTGGCCCACAGGCCACATTTCGCCCATCCCTGCTCTAAGGACTTCCACAGCTACTGCTGTTGCTTTTCCTGCCCCCAGTCAGCCCATGTGCCAGTACCCTGCCATGTTCCCAATAGTGCCCTCTGCTGCATGAGTATGAGTGGACACAGAGACAGAACCCTGCTTTGTGGTCCCACTCATCCCCTCCACTCCTCCCACAGTCCCGGGGCTAGCTGGAGCGCCTGTGGGGTGGTCACTGTCATGTGAGACCCTGCAGGAACAGCCTCAGCAGCAGGGACTGCCCTTGCCCCAAAGTACAGACCAGGAGTTGGCAGGGGGCAAACAGTGGAGATCAGGCCACAGCAGGGTGAGGTCCTTCCCCCACTGCCCATAAGCAGCACCAGCCAGATCACTTGATTTTCAGCTTTTAGCCTCAGGGCCCCTCTCCAGCTCCACATGTTTTCTAAATTTAGATCTTAACTCTGTGTTTTTAATTGAGGTTCTGCAAAATTCAGACAAGTTATGGAGGGGGCCTTGAGGCTGG